TTTTTATTATTTAAGTATTCGATTTTTTACTGTGCAATATTATTTAACATTCGAGTACGGTATAGTGAAATATTATTTAATAATTACACGATAACATACTTCATAATTTAAATAATAAAAATTGCCTCGGAAATTAGGTAGTGAACACTACGCGAGAATGAGCGATATCATTATTTTATTCCTTTAATATCATTATCAACAATAATAAGTCCCACTGTTAGGCACGGGTAAAGAGAGTGTTTAGTTGGCTGGTTCAACACGGGTTGGGAATATCCACAAGTTTTTCAAAGCTTTTGAACTTTTTTCATCATGCATATTTCACCACGATGTTTCTTTAACCGTTAACGAGAGGTTCATTGACAAATGTACGTAACATACAGATTAAAGTCATTATACCGCTCCGGAACTCGAACCGGTGACCTATTGGTTACCACACTTAACTATTATATATAGAAATATAATAATAACACGCTATGCTTGCTTATAATCAGAGCCAGTCTACTAATGGCATTAATAAATCTTTACATATATTTTTTTATGATACCAAGTGGCGGAATGAACAAGTCGTGCCCCAGGTCGTGTCCTAGTCGTGAACAAGTAAACAAGTCGTGCTCCTGGTGGTAAGCGACACGCCTGAAGCCTCTCAGAACTTAAAATCGCAATGATCTGGGCACTGCCACAGCGCCCGTGACCCTGGGACATAAGTTGACAGGTTCCATGTGCCTGTAATTTCTCTAGCACCGTGTTACCCTTTAAAACCGGAACGCAATAATGCTTACATTACTGCTTGATGGTAGAAATAGGTAAGGTGGCAGTACTTCCCTGTACGAACTCGTTCACAAGGAACTCTACTGTTATGATTAATTAAAAAAGGGGTAATGTTGCCAGCATCCTACGAACTGTCGAGTGCATTTCTCGATTAAATTTTGTAACTTTCTCTAGGTGAGTAATGTTTTTTCTACAATGTTAAGCATATTTAAAGAACAATTTTCTTTAAATTACTTGTATAAGAATAATAATAATAACGCACACTCTCAACATAGCCCTGCACTAGGGAAACCCTATGTCGCGGTTGCCATGAACACACACATGGGCAGCCACAAATTACACCCAAACTCACGAGAGAAAAAAAATGTAGGCCATACAAATATATAATAACCTTATTATAATATAATAACCTGGGACCTCTGCGTGGCCCTGTTGCCCTATGTCACCATGGTAACCGTTTGGCCACAGAGGCAGTATTTTTTTATAATATATAAATGCATATTATGATTTTTTAATTGAATTTTTTATTCAATTGTATCTACGTGTAGTACAAAAAAGTTCTTCTGTTAACGAACTTTTGGCTCAAACTCACAAATGTTAATATTCCACTTTCTATAAGTTTTGCCAGCCAATAAATTGATAAATGCATAATTTAACTAAATAAATTAACAGTGTAGACTGTTTGAATTACTCTTGTTTGACCGCATATCATAACATCGTTTTAGAAAACAGATATTTTTTATACTTTAAGTGGTTATGCAACTTCATTGTATGCATACCAAAGCTTAATATGCTTATATTTAGTAATATATATTTTTTTTATAATACCAAGTACCGGGATAAACACGTGCGCCGGGTGGTAAGTGACACGCCTATTCATAAGAACAAGTATAGGCTTTAAACTTTCGTCAGCGTAATAATTAAGATACAAAATATTTTGAGGATACAAAATCGTTATGCAATTTTTTATAAATTCTGTAACATTTCGCATAATATATTATTGGCATTGTAAATAGAATTTCTATTTCTTTCTGTGCTTGCCGATTGGGTAGTCAATTAGAGAGTTTGACCTTGCTCAAGGTGTAATATTCAAAAGTGCAAGCGTTACACTTATTGTGCCGTCGACTGTACGTAGTCTACATACATATTACTTACACAAGTATACATGTATACTAGAGTATATACTATGATATTTATATGAACTCGCCTATGTAGAAAATAATAATGTTTTAAGTTTGCCGTGTCACGTACAGAGCTTTTGATGATATGTCAAAAGTTCAAATGTTTAGCAACTATAGGCTTTAAACTTACGCCAGCGTAATTATTGGGATACAAAATATTTTACGAGGATATAAAATGGTTACGTAAATTTAATAACGATAAATAAATATTAATTTGGTCATGTTTTCATGGCATGATGTGTTCATTTGTTTTTCCATTTCTTTTTTCACCGTGAATTGTATTTTAGAATATTTGTATTTTTAACCGGCTTCAAAAAAGGAGAAGGTTTTTAATTCGACTGTATTTTTTTGTTACGCGATTACTACGGCATTTGTAAACCAATTTTGATGATTCTTTTTTGTTAGAAAGAATGTTCCTCAGAATTGGTCCCATTTCTATTTGAAGAAAAATGCCAAACTAGGGGATGAATCCGGTTTCGCGCACCTTTCTTGCAACCGATTTCAATAAAACTTGGCAAATAGACGTATTTCGACTTAACTAACTTTTGAGTTTGGTTTGTTTTTATAAAAAACTTACAAATAGAGTGATACTAAATGACGGGAAGGACAAGTCGTGATCCTGGCGGCAAGTGACACGCCTATCCATAGCAGTTGCAGTGCCACTCAGAGCTTTAAGTCGCAAAGATATGAGGGGCACGTCAATTTATTCAGCAATTGATTACTTACGGAACAGTAGTTGTGTTGTGTAGTTTTAGTCTTGCTGAAAACTAAAATCAGAACGTATTAACGATATGAACGTCTAATTAAATTTAGTAAGATATTAATTAAATTTTTTGTTATTTTCGTTATAATACAGATTTTATTTACGACTGCCACTACATATATACCTTTGAAAAATTACGAAGGTATTTTCTTATAATAATAACGATAAAATTGGAAAATAGACCAATGACCTGTGACCTACATTCAGACAACATGTTAAACAAAATTTATTATAATGTTTACATGCATAATTCCACAAATCACTGTGTATTGCTTGCAAATATTAAGTCATACCTGAGAGAAGTTGTATAAAAACAACAATGGCCCATAAATCAAGTGAATAAATACGGGGCATTCCATCACGGTAGGGTTTTGTGACCTAGTTGATTCACTGTGTAGTGAGTTTTAAAGGTAAAATTACGTTAAACATTACTTAAGTGACGATGGCCCCAAACTATCGCCTTGAGGAACATCATAATCATTATCATCAATCTATTTATACGTCCCACTGCGGAGCACGGGTCTCCTCTCAAGCCGGGATTTAAGCCCAAATCGGGAGGGTTGTGAACTTTCTTCGACGTGCAGGTTTCATCGTGAAGTTTTTCCTTCGCCGAAAAGCTCATGGTAAATTTAAGATAAGTGTTATATAACAAAGTGCCGCCTGGGTCGAACGGTTACCATGCCGAACTGCCACGCAGAGGTCCCAAGTTCAATTCCCGGGCCGGGAGAAATATTTGTATGGCCTACATTTATTTATCTCGTGAGTTTGGGTGTAATTTGTGGTTGTCTATTTGTATGTACATGGCACCCGCGACACAGGGTTTCCCTAGAGCGGGTCTATGTTGAGTGTGTGCGTTATTATTATTATATTGTAGTTAATTTTGTAAAATAATATTTATTTATAACTTTCTTTCTTTTGCCTAGTTTTAAGTATTATTTTATGTCTTGTATGTTATATTTAAATTTTACTTTATCTTTAATTTTAATTTTAATATGTTGATCGCTTTAGCTTACGCTGTAAGTCCACAAAATGTTTTCTTTACAAACAAATAAATAAATGGTAAGTTTCCAATTAAATTACAAACATTTCGAGAAACCCATAGGTTTCGAACCCATGACCTTTGTTTGAAAGGCTGAAACTGAGGAACACTGGTGGATTAATAAAAAAATTAATAGATCAATAAGTGTAAACGATGAAGCTTTGATTTTGATTGAAGATTTCATAGGATATTTTTGCATATACTTTGTGTAGAGTTGGGGTAAATTAACGCTTTATACAAATAAATTGTTTTCTTTCTCAATTGTATGCATTAAAGTAATGTATGTTTGCGCCTATAGTTATACGGACAACGCCTCACTAATTAACTTACGAAATGTACCTTGAAATGACTATGCATTGTTTTTTTGCAAGAAAAATCCGGATAAGATCGTTTGCTATCCGTTAGTCGCACGTCACATAATAACACCCAGTGACCTAGTGCCGTTAGGTTCACACGCACACGACATGCACCGATACGCTGATGTATTTTTGATGCGCTTGCAACTGCTCCAGAATAATCTATAATATTCCAGATTCAAATTCAAACTTTCTATGAAATTTTGAATCTTTCTCACCAAACTGCCACAATTTCAAATCTGAATTCCAAATTTGAAGATAAAATTTCAGTTCGTATTTCAATTATTTTTTGTTTTAATGAATTATTTACAGAATCCTAAGGTCATTATAATAGTAACATATAATTAATTTTTAATAATATAAACAAATTACTTAATAATAATATAAAAGTATTATTACGTAATTTAATAATATTTCATTATTGTAGGGCGCACGTTGAAGTCTTTTGTATGAACGGAAAATGTTTGTGTTATTTATTCTGGTTTATTTTATCAAGAATTTAAATTTAATGGTGTGTATTTATGAAATTTTGTATAAATTTTTAAATGAGTGGAATACGAGTACAATAAAACATTTATTGTATTGTATGTATGAAATATACAGTCTGAATAAAGCTACGTGTTAATTAAAAATAATGAAAATTTTACAACCCATTTGTAGTTATAGAATTGTATTTATTGTTTACATTGTATGAATATTTAATCGAGTTACCTTTATTTAACGGTTTGCTTTTAATTTTATTAAATTAGAAAAAAAAAATTATTGCTTAATTTATTTTCTTTATTTTGTTTTCTTTAAATTGGGTAATTTTTAATTTTTTTTTTGTAAATTATGTCATTGCTCATCACGAATATTCTTCAAAATATAAAAAAAAATAAAAATCAATAACTCACCTGGCACACAAAGAAAAAGCACCTTACACTCACTGAGCACAAATTTGAGAAAAAAAATTACAAAATATCAAATTTAAAATATTCAAAGTGTCCGTTGTTCGCGGCGGCCGGGGTCAGAGTGCGCGCGAGATCATCCCGCTACTCGTGCGCCGGCGCAGTGAAAGTGCTTATATAGCCTCTGGGATGCAGCGTATGACGTCATCTGATGCGCTATACACCTGATTTATTGACATCAGATATTTGCTGACATTTGGGCGTTTCTGTGAAAAATTTGTAATGATTTGATATACCTTGAGTGTATTATATATAATTACGTAGTTAGGTACAAATGGTCCACTTTATGATTCTTACAGTTTAAAAGTATTTTACGAGGTTTTTCGTATACCAATTTAACGTTCATATCGCACATGAAACAAAATACTGTCATAATTAAAAATTTACGTCATCGTCACGTCAGACAAATATAAACGCGGCTTAACAGCGCAGTTGTAGGTATTTGAATAATATTCAGTACCAAAATGAATAGATTAATATTTACTTTACAAATATTGATCCGTCCTAATTATAAACCCACGTTTAACCATTTGTTACTCTTCAATTTTACTTGTACATAGAGTTACAAACAAGTAAGTACTCAGAGTTTAGAAATCTCCAACAAAAGTTCACTACTGATACCAATTACAAAGTTAATTACGTAGTATTTTGTAATCTCCCACCTCGTTGTTTTCTAGCGAGCTTTGATTAATTGACATATTGCAGTTGCGCGATGTTGTATAATAAATCCGAAGCAAGTAATCAGAATACAATGGATGGGTCCATAGTGAAACTCAAAAGATTGGTCAACTGGGTAGAAATAGAAATATGGGCCTTGGTCCATGTCAAACAGCTACCTGTTGTACTCATATCGTCCCTTTCTCACTAAATGTCGCAACTGACATTTTTGTGATAACTAATTAATTTACTTTATTCAGCTTTTAAAATCGAACATTTTCCACTTATCATGTGTGTAGACATGTTCGATTATTATTTATTGTGTAGACATAGGGTAAGAGGAAAATATTAGACTATTATTTATTATTATTTTATTGTGTAGATGTACGATAAACGGGAAAGTTAGATTATCATATATTATTTCATTGTATACACAGCGCATAAGTAGTAATAGAACTCCTTCTGTAAGAGGTCGTCCAGGTAAGTGTTGCCAGCATAGTAGTAATGTGAGCATTACTGCGTTCCAGTTTTGAAGGGTTTGAATGCTGGTGAAATTACAGACATATGAGATTTGTCAACTGCATGTCTCAGGGTGACAGCGACTATGACTCTCAGATTATTGCAATTTAAAGCTCTGAGTGGCACGGCAACTGTGTTGTATCGCTGCGTATGTGCGTGTCACTTACCAACAGGCACGCGACTTGTTCGTCCCGTCACTGGATATCATAAATAAAACCCAGACATACGGCAAGTGGATAATGTTCGATTATTATATTATTGTGTAGACATACGGATAAATGGATAATTTCGATTATTATTTATTGTTATTTGTTGTGTAGACACACTATAAATGGAAAAGTTCGATTATTATTTATTGTTATTTGTTGTGTAGACACACTATAAATGGATAATTTCGATTATTATTTATTGTTATTTGTTGTGTAGACACACTAGAAATGGAAAAGTTCGATTATTATTTATTTATATTAGACATGCGATTAGTGGAACATTTTTGATTATTTATCGAGTTCTTAGGTTTTCGCGATTGTTACACATAGGAAATGAAACTATTTTTCCGGATTTAAATCGCGTATATTTGTTTTACGGTTGACTCAACCGTGACCATGGGACCTGTAAAGGGCCCGAAACGTCGGTTTGTTTGAAAAAACAAATATACGCGATTTAAATCCGGAAAAATAGTTTCATTTCCTATTTTTGATTATTATTTATTGTGCAGATGATAAACGGAAAACGTACGATTTTCCTGTAAATGAGTATAACTATTAGCGATATATCGTCGTCTCAGAGTGAATACCTCGTGTTTGATTACTATGTAATTTTTTCAGGACGAAGATTAAAATGTGATGTAAAGTATAGTAAACATAATAGTGTTTGTAGTTAAGCATTTTAATTAGTTAAATTATATCTCTTTCAGACACTATATTACTTTAATAATATTTTAAAGCAAGAATTTTATTAGATTTTCTTCAACAAAAATCAGTAAATACGAACTATGTGTACATGAGTTACAGCTCAAGCTGTAAAGTGCTAAACAAATGCGTTGCTCTAAGTAATTTGTCTAATTTCAATTACGATATTTAAGATAGAGTCCACATTTGGCTATAGTTTACCTAAATATAAAATTAAATAAAAAGTGTGATATAAATAGTGAATAAGTTATTACAGTCACTCCTTGTTTTTGTATGTACTTTTGCTGTTTTTAGTTTTTTATTTTTCTTTGTCAGTGGTGTGTCGCGAATCATGTGATGTATTTTTTATAGTGTATCTCATTATATGTATTTGTCAATTTCTGTACTTTTCCTGACTCCATTTCTGTCCTTCTGCTGACTTATGTTTTTTTGCGTACATTCCACAAAGTCCACTTTAATAGTTTGGGGTGTGATGTTTAATTGGGATGCACGAAAGTAGCTTCCCCGTACGGCATACCCTTCTTTTCCTGTACGTCTGGCGTACACTGGGCGACAACCGGCAAGTACCTTACGCCAATTGGCAAACACTTTCACCACGATTTTTTTAAATTAATTTGTTTCTTGTTATATTAAATTGATTTCTTACAATTTACAAATTGCAATTACATTCATACTAATAATTTATCAACAATACTTTGTAGATGGTAAACTCGAACTAAACTAATCAAAAAGTTCAATAGTTAATAGTATTTATTTATTGTTAACAGGCTATTATAAAGCCTAAAAAGATAGCAAATAATTATGAAACTGAAAATATAGTAAAACTTAAATGAAATTCCTTAAAAATGTAACATAATCTTTACATTTAGTAACTCGACGGAGGAACTTTCTTTGAATTGCTTATTTGACAGATGAGACCGCCATGTGCATGGCAAATGACACGTCATGCTACGATTTTATGAAAGAAAAGGTGAACGGATTTCGGATGGGGAACGTAAACTGCATGGACAGTGAATTGTTTTTGTGAGGTCATAGTACGAATTTGACAGGCTATACAAGTTACGGGCTTAAACAGGATTGCTAAAAGAGCTGTTGGGTATTTCTGGCTTCAGCAGTGCATCAGGTTGTTAATGGAAATGCAAACGGTTGATTTTAATGCAATGATTAGAAGAAGACAGCATTTTATTGCAGAGGAGTAAGAATAGCTAAAATAGTATCATGAAAATGTTTAATAATAAATGGTGTGTCACGTCAGTAATGTTTACTAAATATAGCATGTAAGTTTTTGTGTGTTACTAACTGTTAATTGATTTGTAATGTCTAAATAAAGAAAAAATATTATTATTATATAAAGTCAAATATAAATAATCTTTTTTTCATAGGTAAGCAAATTACACTTGAAATCGTGATACTGATTAAACTCTACTACTCATACGTAAGGCAAATTCCCCTGAGAAGAATGAGCAAGAAAGTGTAGGGGTTGCTCTTTGTAAATATACAGTTGAATACATTTGTCATTCCAATGTACAAATTAAACGTCTTAGATCGAGACTACCTGCAAGACCTAAACGGGTCCACGGATTTTTGTCATCCAAGTCTGTCTAGCCGCCGTAAAGTTGTCTGCTTATCGATATTTTACAGAATGTATCACGGTGAGATCCCTTCATAATGTCAAAAATAAATGATCTAAAATATCACTTATGTTCCTAGATACTTTTAAAATAATTAGTTCTTTGTGTCGTTTTTTCTTATCCAAGTGACCAGATGGCTGTTCAGACAAGTAAAACTATCGAATAGGAGATATTCAATAGTGTTCTAGGTGTATGTAGTTTCGACAAAGTTGTAACTGACACTTTCGGTAGTAGGTATACGTGTTTATTTCTAGTCTTAGAGCTATCGAATGTACCAGTTTCCATGGTTTTCTATGGAAAATATCTATCGAGTCCACCAGTTAAATATTGTTCTATGCTAGATACTTCGCAAATTGGCCGATTTGATTTTTTAAATGTTTAATTCTGAGTGCAAAATAGGGTGGTTTACATTAATATTAGACATAACAGGTTGACGATTAACCATCTCAGACAGCCGTGAACATGGGACCTGTAAAGAGCCTGAAAACTTTGTTTGTTTTAAAAAATAAATTTACGCGAGTTATTCTGATTTCATAATTAAGGCATGTGTTTTTTTTACAATCTCTTGTGCGTGACAACAATTGTACTGAAGAAGAATTCAAATTTCTAAATGATATTTATGATGATGTCTTTTCTGCTTGTTCTACAGAGGGTGACAAGATATGTGATGGTTTGATGAATGATTTCACTGCACTGCAACTGTTATGGATAGGCATGTAGCTTACCATAAGGCGCACAACTTGTTCGTCCCATCACTTGATATTATATATATAAAAAATAACAAGACTGAAACTTGTCATGTTACTTATTTTTTCGATTTTATGTTACAAAGTAAAAAAAAATATTTACATTAAAAGACTCAAAGAACTCATGCTACAGTACAAAAGTTCATTTACGATATTATAGTTAAAAGTTGATTTAATTTGCATGTGTTACTCGTAATTAATTCCATATAAAAAACTGATTTATCTTATAATTAGTAAACATACGTAGTAAATTATAAAATCAGTGTTTGGTTTGGTATCCCCTTCTCTTTCAGACCGTAAATTACTTGGCATAAATAATCGAAAGTGTTAAACTTTTATTGATTCTATAAAAGTTGTCAATGAAAAGTACCGAAACCGGAAGATTCAATATTTGTTCAAATTTTACAAGCCCTGAATACTAACGAATCTACTTTCGGTTAATTTCTAGCAAATTCTAAAAAGGTAAGCTATTAAAAGTAAAATATCTAGAAAAATACATAAAATTTTTAAATTATGCTAAGGCCTAAGAAATACATACAATTACACATAAAATTAGCTATCATAATTGGGTGTCACTTTCACGACACTATTAAATCTT